TGCACATTTCGTTCGATAGGGGTATCGAATTCCCGTTTCTGAAACCTATAAAAAATTTTCGAAGCTGCATTTTTCGATAGGCTGTGTGGCTATGCGAAACTATCGAAAATTCGTGTTTCAATAGTGGTGTGGCGAGGCCCTAAGTCTCTCTTCGGATTATTAGGCGTGAAAACCTACTCTTCGGATTATTAGGTTCAACCATGTCAGAACCTGTACAGGAAGTCATGGACGTACACTCAGGTATTTACTACCTGGTATAGGTGGAAGGCCTGATATATATGCAGCACAGATATGTCGTGCGCGTCAGTAGGGCTTGAGTCCCTTGAATTCACTGCGCTTATCCTGGCAAGCACTTGGCTCGCACGTTCTTTTTTTTTTTTTTTTTTTTTTTTTTTTTTCCTTTTTTTTTTTGTTTTAAAAAAGGTTGTGAAAATCCCTTTTTTTTTTTTTTTTTTTTTTTTTTTTGGTGCGTGGGAAAATAGAGAAAACTGGCAGTTTTCCCAAACTCCTAAGGTTTCAGAGGCTGGGCCCGACAACGGCTGCCATTGATAAATCTGATCGGCAGCCGACATTTCGTTTCGGCCTCCGAAAAGGTCGGAGGGCCCGCTATTTTCCCACGCGCCAAAGGTACTAGTACCTTTGGTGCATAGGAAAATACGCCCAAACTCCTAAAGTTTCGGAGGCTGGGCCCGATGACGGCTGCCATTGATAAATCTGATCGGCGGCTGTGGTTTCGGCCTCTGAAAAGGTCGGAGGCCCACCGGAGGCCCACTATTTTCCCACGCGCCAAAGGTGCAACCCCGAAATCTTACCCCCGAAAAAAATTGGACCATTTCTCGGCTTATGCGTGTCAGCCTTGGGCAGGGGCCATGCTAATTACCCTTCTCTGTATCTTTCCAATTTTAACAGATGTCCCGAAGGACCATAGCGGTTTTTCAAGCCCTGCCATCTTGGATTCACAACACAGTCAGATCAGTATATGGGCCTAGCTGCGCCTCGCTGCACTACTCTCGAAATATGCAAAATGAGAGTGAATCTTACGCTAGAATATGGAAAGATACACCCCCATGATTTTTGTCTGTTGTGCATGTCGAGAGTAGTGCAGAGAGGCCCTATGGGTGCGATGGAAGAGGACATCCTCTTCTATTCACAACACAATCAGGGCCCAGGTCCCACTTGACCTGATTCTTCATTTTTTGCCGTTGATTTTCATGATCTACGGTCGGGAATGGAGGATCCAGGTAAGTGGGACTTGGCCCCAGATGTCTGCGGATCTCTGGAGAGTGAGGGTAGGATAGGATTTGTAGATCCTCCGATTGTGTTTGCGAAGATGTCTGGAAAACGCGAGTCTGGGTGACGCTGGAGGGGTCGAGTAAGCAAGCTTACCCCTCCGACCCCTTAGTAGGCCAGAAATATTAATTTATTTAATATCATGCGGCCCGATGGAACATGGATCAGATATTAAACTTATCTGAACAGATACTACGCTTGATCGTACTTAGCCAAAAGGCCGAGAGAGGTATTAACGGGGTGTTTTGTGCGTTCTTTTCAGATGTCTTTATTATACCCGCTGTTGGAGGTGTATTAGGGCCTCGACACACCACTGTCTAAACGAAAAACCTTCGAATGCATCTTCATGCAGAGCGTGGCAAGATGCATCCGTTACTATGAATAGCAATGGAGGCATCTTACCACTTTCTGTGGTGGATGCATTCTTTCTTTTTTCGTTTCGACAGTGGTGTGGCGAGGCCCTTACAGTATGTTCTTCCAAATGACGTTGTTGCAGGGCAAGTCTGTGTTGGCAGAAAAAAAAATTGGAAATTTTTGAAATGCCCCTGAAGTTTGCATTTATTTGCGATTTACCCCTGCAACGGCCAACTTACCCTTATTTGCCCCTCTGACAGTGATTCAAGTTTCCAAAAAACCCCTGGCATCATTTGGGCCTGAGACATTTTCAATATGCCCCTACTGGTACCTGTGCCAAATTTTCAGTTTGCCCCTACCGGATAGCCGTTCAGTACAGGCACAATAATTTTCCATATGCCCCTCCCGGTACGGTGCATCTCTTAGGTATGCCCTTCCAGTCGTTGCTGGCAGTAGCAGCTGTTCCCCTGGCCCTGGGAGATGTGGTACCCGGGCTTGTGTGTTGTCATATTTGCTATACACTCAAAAAAAGCATGAAAAAAAAAAAAAAGCATGACTTTGCCAGACTGTTTCGTCGGACTTTTTCTTCGACTCATCAGGAGGG